AACTCATGCTTTTAAAAGAAGAAAGATTTTTGACCGTTTTAACTTGAGAACAAATCTATGACAAAGAGCTATGGCACCTTCTTCCCAATGCTTCTCTGCATCCCTGCAGCAGCTCAGCACCAGACTGTTGTGTGAACTCTTTGAAAAGATTCTTATGTTCTCTTTGCTTATTACAAACCAGCCCCTGATATCACACAGACCTTTATTAGGACACTAGCTGATTTCCATTTGATCTGGCTCTCTGAATCTTGTCACAAGGATGGGAACTTCATTTCATGGTTGTCTTAATAATAATGTTAGGCATGTCATCCCTTTTACTTTTTAAATTTAGAAGCTAAATTGATACAATTGACTTAGTGCCTCCTTCCTGGATTTCTTAATGCATTCTTAAATAGGTGACAACCAGATTTACGACTTGGGGCATAACCCAAACACATAGAACAGAGTTGGGGTGTGTGTTAAACTCTATTGGTGCTTCATCTCCTGCCATACTTGTGTGGTGTGGAAGATCACAGTACACTTGAGGTCTTAGAATCTCAGAAAAGGCAAATCATGCTAGTTCAGGAAGCACTGCTGCACAAAAACATTTATTATTCACCAAGGTTGATTTTCTGTCTCACGTGTTTATTTCATATTGTTAATTTGCAAGCAAACCTGTTATTGTTAAGCTTTTACAAAAATATCTCTAACAGCATATTATATAAGCCAATCGAAGTCAGTTTCTCAAGCAAGAAAAAGTGCTAAAAGCCTTGTTAAGCATCTCTAATTTTGTCACTGACATAATTTTGCTCTTTAAAAATAATCAGAATAATGAATCACAAACTTAAGCATTATATTTCCCTAACTTGAAATAAATCTTAATCCTAAAGGTTTGAGTTTGAAGAAAGCCAAAGGGGAGTTCAATAAATTTTGTATACTAATCTAACATAAGTTATACCTTGGTTTCAAATATAAGATCAAATTTGTATAACTTTAAGGCTACAGTACAATTTATATGTCTTTCCTTTGGAGATGAAATCTTCTGGCCCTTCACCAGGAGACTCTCCTTAAAGTGCATTTGAAGTTAAGACTCTTGATGAGTAAGGCAACTTCTGCTATGCTAGTGTGACAAGTATTTTACCTATCTCCAGTTTTAAGAGAATATTCTTCAGGAAATGTTTTGTAAGTAGAGTTATTTATATTTCCTCTCTTTGTGTACTGTGCAAGGTACTAAGAAAAACTTTGTCTTGCACATAGTATAATTTTTGCTTTCATGTTTACATTTCCATTATCAGTAATCTAAAAGCTCTGTTATATTTTTGATAAATGCTGTGAAATTATGATTTAATATAAAAACACCATCTTCATTTTCTGAGCTGATGTCAGGGACCAGTCAAATGTGAGGAAAATATGTGGATAAGAAGTTACTTTACTGTACAAATAAATAGCATAATGTCTGTGTAATATGGGAGGAAGCCTTCTAGGTACATTTACAATTAAATATATGAAGATCCATGACTTCCAGGAACAAAGATAATTTTAGACCATCCAGAGCCAATATGCCAAAATAGAGCTGACCTTTTTTGTATGATAAAAAGAGTTTTCTAATATATAAATATTTGTAGTAGACTTAATATCAAGGAACACTTATTTTACACCCCTAATAAATGAAGATTTTATTACTTACAAACAAATTACATTATGTTCAACACTGGACTAGTACTATTCCCTGAAATATAATTGGAATATTTTCTATCTGTTTTGTTGTTCTGTCTTTTGTTGAAACAACATGCTCATTTCTATTTCAGAGCAATGTGAGAATCTGTACTATAGTTTTTCTTATGCTTAAAAACTCCAACCTTCTATGGAAATAGGGCTAATATTGAGTCCAGACACTGTAAGTTATGAATTGTATGTGTGGATAAGTCATTTGAAATCACTAAATTATGAACATGAATCATTGTGGAGATTTTAATGAACTTTACAGTAATTCTATCTGTAACTAGAGGGTTCTCTCCTGCCAGTCAGTCCCCACCCCCCAAAAAGAAGAAACAACTCAGAGGCTTCATATTACTTATAAATGCTTGGCCAGTGGCTCAGGCTTATTACTAACTAGCACTCGCACTTCAGTTAACCCATAATTCTTGTCTGTTTAGTCACATGGTTGGTGGCTTGTTACCTCATTTTCTACATGTCTTCATTCATTGGCAGCTGGCTGGTGGCTGCTGACTATGCCCTTCTCCTTCCCAGCTTTCTCAGTTTGACTTTCTCACTGAAATTCTTGCCCAGCTACTGGTCTGTCAGCTTTTTTTTTAAACCAATGAGCATAACACATATTCACACATACAGAAAGACACCCCACAATATCTATGAACAAACACTAAACTGTCAGCCATTGTAACTTGCACATATAGTCTCAGCACTCAGCTTGCAGAAGCTGCAGGCTCGTGAGTTTACAGACAACTTCATAGGGATTTTCAGGCCACTGTGGGTTATATATCTTGAACTTATTACCAAACATATGAATAAGAAAAAATAAACAATACATTGCCAGGATCATAATAAAGAACTATGTTTAGATGGTCAACGTGATTTTATATCAATTCTTGGCAAGCCCCACAGACCTTTAGAAACACACAAGCATCATAATGAAGGCAAATATACTTCCTGATACTCTAAGAATGAGTTTAAAGAATGACCCAATTTCCTTTTCAGTGTGCTTTTGATGTAACTTGTTTTATTTAATGGCTTGTTTTTCCTTTGATATCAATTAGGACTTAGATTTAATAGTCCATCATGATCAGTTCTATGCTGGGATAAGTTTCAAAACTGAGCAAGAACATACATGTAAAGCAAGATGCTTATTGTAAAGTATCACCATCATCCCCTCCCAGAGATCTGGGCATGATTCAGTGAACATTTTCTGGATTCTTGCCTTCTTTACCATTTTAAACCAAGGAAGTACTAAAAAAGTTTTCCCATCGAAAGAGGACTGGAGGTCTGGTTGCCCAACCACGATAGGTCACAGTTTTCGCTAGAACCAACTAGTTATCACATAAATGACCAAGAATCCCTCCTTTTGCCTATGTCTTTTGTTTGCAATGTGACTTTATCTCTTATGAACCACTTACTCTACATGAAAAAGAGAAGTCACTCTGTCTCATTCCTTCAGAGAAGGTATTCCAACAGAGGAGGTACCAGGCTTGTTTTTATGTACTAATCCAGATACCATTCATGGATTCTTCTAAGGTGCCACAGGATACTTCAATAGCCAAGCTACACAGAAAATCCCTATAGAAGAAATTATGATCCCTGGTATGGAGCGACTCCAAGTGAGTAATTGTGACTTCTGGAGCAAGGAATCTTTTCTCTCTCTTTAAAATACCAAGCAAAAGAGTAAATAAATGGTTCTCTGTCTTGCCTAGTGTGGCAGTAGACTTGGAGGCAGGTTCATTTGATCACAGAGTAAAGGCATCATAAGAGAGCTAACAGCACAAGTGTGTTAAGTGACAAATATTGAAACCTTATGATTTTAAACACCTACTAACTATCTCCTAGAAGTCACATTTATGTCACAAAATTCTGTTTCCTACTGAGCAACTTCTGTACCACAAAAAAAGCAAAATGGATGAGCCATAAATCACCTTAACCATTTCTCATCACCATTCCTAACGTTACTACATCATCTTAAATATAAGGAAGATTGAAAATGTGGTTGATATGCTTTATGGTTGGCTATACTTTTCCTGAATAAATAACTTGCTTTTTATGAATTTTCCTAAGTAAATGAAAACAGTGTGCATAACTCATTAATGATCCTCTTTTCAGCAAGAACATGCTCTTAATTTTATGAATCCATAAACATGTCTTTTCCTCATGTGAATAAAAAATAATATATTGTGTGTCAGAATTGAAATTCAAATACTGGTTTTTGAAGAGCAGAAGTCATGTTAAGAGTTTCAACATTTCAAAAATATTCACTGTAAATTGACATACCTAAAATGTATTAATGGCACAGTGAACTCTTATACGGTTAGCCTTGGCTCATGAACTTCCATGTGAGAGGCCCAATTTCTTCCTTCCTTGTGATTAATATTTTGTATTTTTAATCTGATAAGAAAATGTGGTGCTGAGGAATTATGTTTCTAGACATTCGATAAAGTAACATTTTAATGATTATTATAATTTATAATTATAGAAGTGTGTTTCTTTGAGAAATGTTTTCTATTTCTATGTTTAGTTTTTAAAGGTATTATAATTAAGAAAATTAAAACAACTTGGTGTTTGAGGTAAAATCTTAATCCCACAAATTCAGAAGAAAGACACGACAGTATTAGCAACTTTAGATGAAATATAAATTAGTTTTAAAATATTGTTAGAATGAACTTCATTGAGGTAGTTTCATGTGTGACTTTATTTTTGTTCCCTCTTTGATTAATTCAAACTATAGCTATTAGATTACAGTTATATATAGTAAATTCTACAATGAATCAAAGCTTTCAAAATAAAAAGACATAATTTATCTTTCATATGCTCAATGAGATAACTTAAATAATGAAAGGGAGAATAATTCAATGTAGTAACAGACAAATGTACAATGGATTAGCATAGCACGCGAGCAGGAGTTTAGATATCAGACACTGAGGCTACTCAGAAGTTGTGTATCAACTGAGATTTTTAACAAAGAGAGTTAACTAAATGAGGAGAGGGGCTTAATTCCTATGTAGCACGTGAAGAAATACAGATCATTGATCAAACATTACAGTTTCACACACTGAGCAAAAAGCAAGGACACTGAAGATGTTGGTGAGAGACCAGGGAGTGACCATTTATCCTGGAATTTGGAATTTTGACACTTAACAAGTGAGATAAAGGTTGATGCATAGTTAATTATGGCTAATTATAAAGAGGTTTGCTTGATTCTCAGGTCTTTAACATTCTTTTATAAAAAAAAAAAAAAAAACGTCGACACACTCTTAGTTTTCAACATGCAGAAAAGCCCAATGCCTTTATTTTTATAGATGAAGATACTGGACACAAAACTTCCTTGACCAGGTCCTTAGAGCCACAATGACATGATTTATCAGCATCAGAGGCAGCATTCTTCATTTTCTCAGGTAAGTTATTGGGGATATTACACACCTATTTTTACCTATTTTTTAGTAATTCTATGAGAATATTTTACAATATGTTTTGATTATATTCACATCTCCCCTCCCTCTTCCAAGATCCACCCATCATCCATAATACCCACCCAACTTTGTACTTTGTGTCTGATTGTGTTCTCTCTCTCTCTCTCTCTCTCTCTCTCTCTCTCTCTCTCTCTCTCTGTGTGTGTGTGTGTGTGTGTGTGTGTGTGTGCATGCGTGTGTGTTTTTCTCTCTTTTACCCATCAAGTTCAGTTTGTGCTACCTATTCCTTTGGATAAATGACCTTCCATGGGAGTGTGGTCAACCTGTTAGGCGCCACACCCTTAGAGAAAATTTCCCAATTTCCTAGCAGCTATCAATTGCCAATAGCTCCTTATCCAGATTTGAGACTTTATGCCCACTCTCCCTCTTCATGCTTAGATTTTTGTCTGACTTGAGCTTGTACAGGTCTTGGGCATGCTGTTACAACCATCTTGAATTCATATGTGTATTTACCCTGATGTTTCTGGAAAACATTTTATGGTCATCCACCACTTCTGGCTCTTACAGTCTCTCTACCCCACCTTCTGTCATGATCCTTGAGCCTCGGAGGGGGGTTTTCTGAGCTTGGACCATTTGTTGGTCTCTGCGTTAATTGCCATCTACTGCAAAAAGAATCTTCCTTGGTGAGGCTTGAGAAATACACTAATCTATTGATGTAGCAATAAATCATTAGGAGTGAGTTTAATACTATGCCCATTTAGCAGAGTAACAGTAGGTTATTTCCTAATACCTATGACCTATCTAATCACAGGTTGTTGGCACTAATAATGGTTCCAGCTATAGGTCCCAACATGTAGAGTGGAGCTGTAAATTCAGTCAGAAAGTGGTTTGATATTCCCATGGCATTTTCTGCCACTTTTGCATCAATGTACATGTCTTACCAGGCCAGTTGTTATTAGAGCTTATAGTGTTAACAACTGGTAAGGTTGATTATTCCTTTTCTCCTCCAGTAGTGTGCATACTACCTTTCATGACTATGAAAATTAGCCAGTAGGTATGAAAATTCTAGATCGCAACCAGCACTCCATGTTCTATGATCCAAGTATATAAGGCCTTGAACAACAGGGTCCTATTGTCAAATTGCAGACATTTAATGCTTAGACTATCTACTCCCAAGGTAATGTTGAATAAATTAATAAGGAGCATAGATAAATATTATAGTTATATGCATACATTTATATATTTTAGTATAACTGTAATGGCTGTAGGTTTACAAGCATATAGTCTATGCCCAGAATATACTAAACTTAGTTGTTCAGAAGAAGTCACTTGCCTTATTCTCTTATTAGACAGAAAGTATGTCTATTCCAAGTGGCAGCTGTTGCTGTCTGGTGTGCAGAAAATCAACCATGAAAATGCCCTGTGGACTAGCCATCTCAGTTGCTTGTGCTTTTAAGAGACACCTGTGAATTTTCTTTGCTAGTTTCTAACTTTTAAGTCTTACTCAGCTTCTACAACTTTTAAATCATTATGCATGCAATAGAAATTTTATATCAAAGAAACAAATATTGAAGAAATGGATGCTCTTTCAATTCAGTTAGTCCTGGTACACAAAAATACTTAAATCTACATTCATTCACAATATGTAAAAGTAGAATATGAAGTTGAAATTCTGCTTAAGATATTAAAAGAATAACTTGGAGTGAACTGAATTTAATGATTTGAGCAATGATTGGCTCCTGAATCAGTCATTCTAAAAACCAGGAGAGGTTCAGTGAACTAGAACTCGAATAAAGTTCTTTCTTAGATACTTATTTTAAAATCGTCCATGGCCACAAGAGATCACTCAACTATTCATTCCTTTTCCTTTTCTTTCTCGTTCCCTTTTTATTATCTTCTTGTAGTTTCTTTTAAGGTAGTCTTTACTTCTTTGCATGTCAGTGTGTATATAATGTGTGCATTAGAGAAAACTGAACTTAATGATTTTAACTTCCTAATAGCTCTAACATTCTTTTTTGTTATTAAGCCTAGTCATAATGGTTTTGCTGTACCTTCTCTTTTCAATATACATGGCAGTTTCTGTAGCTAGAGTTTTCCTGCCTGGCCCACAGTCAGGACAAATCTTTGTCCCACAGCCGCTCAGACCCAACCAAGTAAACACAGAGACTTATATTGCTTACAAACTGTATGGCCATGGCAGGCTTCTTGCTAACTGTTCTTATAGCTTAAATGAATCCATTTCCATAAATCTATACCTTGCCACGTGGCTCGTGGCTTACCAGCATCTTCACATGCTGCTTGTCCTGGCGGCAGCTGGCAGTGACTTTTTTTGCCTTCCTAGTCTTTCTTTTCTCCTCTCTGTTAGTCCCGCCTATACTTCCTGCCTAGCCACTGGCCAATCAGTGTTTTATTTATTGACCAATCAGAGCAATTTGACATACAGACCATCCCACAGCAAGTTTCCACTGGAGAGACATAATTTTGTGGAAGCTCATATCATCATGATTCATTATTCATATCAAAGGAAAAGTGGGGCTCCTTCCCTCAGCCATTGACTAAGCTTATAAAAATCAAGACATAATCTGTTGGTTCTGGTAGATCCTAGAACTCAACTCATAGGGTCATTGGATATGAATATCTACTTCACTGTATACTGACAAATTTCTCTCCAGCATGCTTACATGTGTTATGTTCTCTTAGAAAGACTCAACAGTTTGTAATATCCAGTGTTCATGTGATGGCTCTGGAAAGACATATTACTGTTGGTAATACACAAAAAAATTCAAGATACATTGCTTTTATAAGAATGTACATGCATATGTCAAGAATTTAGTTTTTTATGAAAATTCATTTTCCCTCACAAAAGAGTTTAAATTTTAAAATTTTTAATCAAATTTTTAGATTAAAGATTATATGAACCATTATCATGTGCTGACCAAAAATTGTAAACTTTATGGGCATCTGCTTAAGACTCAGAGGTACCAAAATTTGATCATGTTATAATCAAAAGTCTATTTAAGTCATGCATTCAAAGTTTGCAAAACATGTACAGGCTTTATAGCAATGAATGTGTGCATGAAAATTATTTTTGTGCAAAGAAATTATGTCAATTGTGATAAAATGTCTAGCAAACTACTTTTAAAAAAATATGTCAGGAACAAAGATAAGGGCAAATGAATCAGAGATTTATGTGTGAATTTTCACCATAATGATTCTAGAAGAAAATAAAGGTAAATATTTCATTATATTTCAGGTTCAGACATTTTCCAAATTATTTAGGTAATACAGAGATCATATGTAAATAATGATTACATATGAACTGGTAAGGCATTAATTTAAAAGATGTGAAGGCAAACAAAGCTGAGAAACTTTCCTCAAGCTAGCATGCCATCCAAGGCACTAACATCCTCTTTACACAGGATGCTTACAAACCAAACAAATGTAATCAGATAGCAATGCAAATACCAATAGTGAATATAAATTTTATAATACAACTTAAATCACACAGTAAATGGTAGTTTCTGGTAACCATATGCTGATAATACTACTTCAGCATATGGATGAAATCATTCCTTCAATTTACTAATAACTAAATCAGAATAATCTATGTTTCAAAATTTTTTTTCACCGCAATGTGTTCATAAACTGATATGCCAAATTAAATGTAATGAGATGTTTCATCAAATTAATTGTTATTGTTATCCTGTCCCCGAACTGGAAGTACTTAGTTATATTAGTAGAGTTTGGCTAAACTGACTTTTATATTTTAAGCAGCGGCATATGATGAGTCATTAGAAATTCTACATATCTAAGATGTACTTAATACCTCGTGTGCACGCATGTTCAAGTCTGTTTGGTCACACACTTTGCATGTGTGTAGTGAGATGACAAACTGGAGCGTCAGTCCTGACCTTGTGAAGGTGGAGACTGGAAACTATGGACAGGTACACACAGGTGTCGGTACCAAAGGTAAGGAGCACACTGTCCAGCTGTGCTCAATAAAGTTGGTATAAGAGAAAGTGATATGTTTAATAGGATGCATAGTCTTTGCTCTGTCTTCTGTTGCTTCCACAAATGGATGAACATAATGAGAAGCAGGTACTGGAATCCAGGCACTTCTTTTTTTATTGACACAGGGTCTCTTCTATTAACTGTTGGTTAAGCTGTCTTGCGAGCCTGTGATGATTCTTCTGCTTCTATCTTCCTTTCCTTGAAAAGGGCTAGCTAGCCTGGGCTAGAGTTACATGTCTGCCTCTCACACTTACATGGGTGCTGAAATGCTAAACATGCCATCAGGTTTGTGAAGCAAGTGCTTTATGCCTCCCCCATTTCACTAGCCCCATTAATAGGTTTTTTTTTTTTTTTTTTTTTTTTTTGAGTAGGAAACACTTCTTACAAAAACGTAGGGTATATAATCCCTCCTCTCTCTCACCGATTGGACTCCTGGAACTCCATCTGGGGCTTGGCCGTGGATCCCTGCATCTGCTTCCATCAGACACTGGATGAGAGTTCTATCATGACAGGTAGTTCGGCCAGCCGATCACCAGAGTAGGTCACTCAGGCACTCTCTCTATCATTGCCAGTAGTCTATAGTGGAGGTATCTTTGTGGATTTCTGGGGACCTCTCTAGAACTCTGCTTCTTCCTATTCCCATAGGGTCTACATTTATCATGGTCTCTCTTTCCTTGTTCTCCCACTCTGTTCCTGATCCAACTGGGACCTCCCACCCCCATAAGCTCTCTTTCCCCCAACCCTTGCCCTCCACTATCCCCCACCCCCAGTTTGCTCATGTAGATCTCATCGATTTCTCTGTCATTGGGAGATCCCTGTGTCTTTCTTAGGGTCCTCTTTACTAGGTAGCCTCCCTGAAGTTGTGAGTTGAAGTATGGTTATCCTTTACTTTACATCTAGTATCTATTTATGAGTGAGTACATACCATGTTTGTCTTTCTGAGTCTGGGTTACCTCACTCAGGATGATTTTTTTCTAGTTCCATCCATTTGCCTGCAAACCTCATGATGTCATTGTTTTCCTCTGCTGAGTAGTACTCCATTGTGTATATGTACCACATTTTATTTATCCATTCAAGAGATATTGAGACCATGACTGGAAAAAGCACAGGGACAAATAGCCAAACTAGTGGAAACAAATGAACTGTGAACCAATAGCTGAGGAGCTCCCATGGAACTGGATCAGGCTTTCTGGATAAGTGAGACAGTTGATTAGCTTGAACTGTTTAGGAGTCCCCCAGACAGTGGAACCGGGACCTGTCCTTAGTGCATGAGCTGTCTTTTTAGAACCTAGGGCCTATGCCGAGACATTTTGCTCAGCCATGGTGTAGGGAGGAGGGGACTGGACCTGCCTCAACTGAGTCTACCAGGCTAGGCTGACTCCCCAGGGGAGACCTTGCCTTTGAGGAGGTGGGAATAGGGGATGGATTGGGGGGAAGGCTGGGGTGTGGGAGGAGGGAGGACAGGGGAGTCCGTGGCTGATATGTAAAATTAAATTAATTATAAAATAAAAATATTTAAAAAGAAAAAAATGTGGGGTATAGTATACAATTAAAAAGATAATTTATTGTATTGATTTTATATAGAATTATCAGTATTAATTTAACTTATTAAATTGATACAAGACTAATGTGAATTATTATCCATTCAAGATTATATGTAACTGCATGCATATTTAAACATATACACATCCATCTGTCTATATATCTATGTATCTATATATCTATAGATATATGTATTCCACTGAGTGAGGCTGACCTAGTAAATTTCAAGTGGAAAAACCTGCTTTGTTTTTCTCAGACCGGTGCTTCCATCACATTTCATCAGCTCTTCAATGGCTTTCGGGTGATATTTCTGACAGATCCCATATGTATGAGTCTGGGTCACATCAGGGAACAGATGGTACACTCAGCATTGAAATGCAAAAGAGTTTAATAAGTTGGTCTGTGCAGAGATACAGGTAAAATTAAGAAACCAAGGAGAAATTGTGAAGCACCCAGGCACTCTCACCAGTGAACACTAACAAGTTTGCTGGCTTTCTTAGCTACTATTGGCCACCATTGGCTTTCTTATGCATAATCTTTTCCTGTCATCCATGAATCATAGTTCAAGGAAAAATTGCACCTTACAATCTTACAGTGGACCTTTGACTAGCCTGACTAACTGACTAAAACTTTAATGACCTAGAGAGGTTGGGATGCCGCAATCCAGAGCCAAATTACAATGTATTTGTGGCTATCTTTATCCCCTTACTAGGCATTACTTGCTCACATATGTTTCTTTAGAGCTCCTGCATGTAAGGTGGATTCGCTCCAGTCAGATCAGAGGATGACTTCTGCTGTCTACTCCATTCTGTAATTGTGAGTGTATTTCCTCAATTTATAACAATAAATTCTGTTATCTATTTAATAGGCTCAGAGGGGTTGATCGTAATAAGTGTAAATCAAGACAAGTTTCAAATGCATTGTTGGAAATGGCAGGAAGGCAGAATATGCAAAGTGGGGCAATCTCAGCTCTAGACTTTGGATGCTGTCTGATGGCACGTCTAGCTTTTGATGAAAGTTATTGGTCTGTTAATATATTACAAATAGTTTGACAACTGGCAGCCTGGACAGTCACCTAAAGTTTCTCAGCATTGTTGTTGCATTCAAATTGGCTACAGGCCTAGAGTATCTGACAGACCATCTTCAGAAGCAGGTATTTTGGAAGACCATCTTACCCTGTTTTGGCAGAGTTCAGAAGTCACTTTTCCTTGTGTCCCACTCCTCCAGAAAGGACAGCATTTGTACTCTTAAGAGTTGAAAAAGAAGACAAACTTCCAAACAGAAATGTTTTAGAAGCCCAGCATTCTCTCAGGATCAGATTGGTGCTGTCATGAGCAATAATGTCTCACGTCAACAGAAATCTAAGTTATCAAAACATTTAAATGCTATATTCTCTAGGTCTATGAAGTGTTTGAAGATTACCTATCCATCTGACATATGTTTCTGTAAGTCTGGATAACCTAACTAGCATAACTATAGAAATGACAAGCATGAGTGACTATAGCTCAGTAAGTCTTCTCTACTAAATAACTTAAGGACTAAGGCTTCACATCAGCAAGATAAACAGTCTGTAGGCAGATGTACCATATAAGAACAGTGGCCTCAAATTGTGACAGTACACAAAATAGCTTAAACAGAGGTAGTAGTATATAGCACAACATGCAATATGACAATAATCCTAAATATATATCAATATACAAAATATCCTAAACAGAGGTAGAACATACATACAGTATGACAAGTATAATATTACATTTGTGTCAATATACAAAATATTTCAAACAGGAGTATGAATATGTGTATAATACAACGAATAAAGTTTTGTGTTTGCATATAAGGTCATTGGTGGAGTAAATACCACTACACATGCTGGTCTTTGTTCTGTTACTAAACAAGTTCCAGAAACTGTTGTGCCAGTGGAACATGGAATTTGGTGTTTTCTCAAGCTGGGGTCACTCATATTTGGCTCTAGACTCATGTTTAGCTCCAGAATAAACTCTCTTTTACTTCCTCTGAGGTGAGAACTGTGCTTTTTTAATGACATCCCCATCGTTGTGTCTTCAGTTTTTCCAGAAAGGGTCAAGTCTAAGGAATAGAAGGAAGGTAGGAGGGCAGAGACCTTTTGCTCATTTAATTCTGATTCTTGATCTCATTCAACTGGAAAACAGTGCCCATCGTGGCAAAAACAAAACTGATCGACTACTCAGTGAGATGAAAAGGGAATCATATGTGGTGAGCCACGCCCTTGACACAGACCATCACTCTTCAGCTGACGTTCTGAGAAGTTTCTCCATTTCTGCCTTTGGTTGCTATGAGGATTTTGGTGGGTGTCTCTGTGGGTTATCTGCTTGAGCTTACTCTCTAATTCAGAACTCTGTAGCTATAGAAAACTGAACAATGCCAGTGATTCCTGTTCATGGAAATGTAAAGTGTGACACTTTGAATGCAATTGCTTGTCAACCTGTGGATTTTTCCTATTTTGCCTGTATTACGTTGGCATTCCTTGTGTGCTTACAATTATTGTGTTTAGTAGCTTCTCCTTTAAACCACTTGTGACCTCTCACTGAATCTCTTATTGGTAAATGAGATAAGTTCTTTGAGTTTGTCTTAAATGTTGGTCATTATCATTCTATTTGTGGTACTTTGAATATATGTCTCCTCTCAAACTCATGCTGATATACAATTTTCATCGTAATAGTATTAAGAGATGGGCCACACAATTTCAGAGGTTAGCAAAGGAAGTGAAGAAACAAAACTGAACATGAAAAGCTTACTCTCGAAATGACATTTAGTACACTCTCAACTGAACTAAAGGATGAGTCTTTTATGTATTTTACCACATTGGATTTCTTCTAGTTTGCTTTTTGTTTCTCTGATAAAACACTAGACAAAACCCACTTGGGGAGAGCAAGATTTACTTCAGCAGTAGTTCACAATGGAGGCAAGTCAGGGCAGGACCTTAAAGTCAGAACCTTGCCATCAGGAAGGGAAGCAAAGACTAGAGAGGAGCATGATTTTCTGGCTTGCTCAGCTGTCTTTCTTATGTACCTGCCCTGAGCCCTCTCATATCAATGAGAAACCTAGTAAATATGCCACAGATATGCCTCTAGGTCACGCTGATGGAGGCGAATCCTCAGTCGATGTTCCCTCTTGTTAAGTATTTCAAACTGGCAGCTAAAGCAAACAATGACAGATGGGCACTGTGTTAGCTGCTGCCAGCCTGCCTCAGTGGTGGTAGTTACTTCATCACCTGCTGCCAGGTGCGGTGCATTTTCGCCATCAGCTAACAGCTGCATACTTCCATACGGAACACACGCACCCCTAAAAGTATCCGTCTGTCACATTCTCCCTTTACCCTCTTCTTGCTCTCTTGCCTGGATCTCTCTGTCTGTTTGCTTTTCTCATGTCCCCGCTCTGAGATGGCCTTTTGTCTTCCCTGCTCCCCAGTAACCCTCTTACTCTGGAACTGTTGCATGTGGCATGATCTCTTAGTGGCATACCTTGACAAGGTCCACCAAAGGTACCCAGTTGGCCACTTTTTCTTTTCACACTGCCCCTGAGGAGGGTTGTCATCTGGAAATGATAACACTCTTTAGCCATGTGAAAGTTGTGGGTAGACTATTACTAAAAAACCTAACACTTGCCTCTTAGGACTCTTAGTCTCATACTGGGTTGCCTCGCCAAGGGTTTGTGCCTAGTTGTGTTGTATCTTGCTATGCTGTGTCCCACTGATATTCCTGGGAGGCCTTTTTTTTCTGAAGGGAAATGGAAGAGGAGTGGATCTGGGTGGAGATAGAAGGTAGGGGGGTGACTGGGAGGGGTGGAGGGAGGGGAAACTGTGGTTGGGATGTACTGTATGAGAGAAGAATAAGTAATGTTTTAAAAAAGTTGAAAAAATATATGATTCACACAAGAAATATGTGGGCAAAGCACCATAGAAAACAATACAACTATCTTTTAATTAAAAACAAGAAAATACTCTTTTTTTCATTCTTAGCCCTTATGAAAGGTGTATGATGGAATCCAAGAGTCTTTTTGATTTGCATTTTCCTGACAGCTAAGGATGTTGAACATTTCTTTAAGTGTTTCTTGGCCACTTGAAATTCTTCTGTTGAGAATTCTCTGTTTAAATCAGTACCCCATTTTTAATTGGACTATTTAGGGTTTTTTTCATATCTAGTTTCTTGTGTTCTTTATATATCTTTGAAATTAGCCCTCTGTTGGATGCTGGGTTGGTGAAGAAATTTCCCATTATGTATCCCTTAATATCAATTCATCTATAAAAAGACACAGAATAACAGAACGGATACATTAACAGGATCCATCCTTCTGCTGCATACAAGAAACACATCTCAACCTCAAAGACAGATATTACCTCAGAGTAAAGGGTTGGGAAAAGAAACTTTCCAATCAAATGGACTTAAGAAACAAGCTGATGTAGCTATCCTAATATCTAACAAAATAGACTTCAAACTAAAATCAATCAAAAGAGATAAAGAAGGGCACTTAATATTCAGCACAGGAAAAATCCATCAAGAGGAAGTCTCAATTCTGAACATTTGTGCTCGGAGATTAACACTATTAAACTTCACAGTAGAAAAGATGCCTTGAATGCAAGACCCCACCAATCAAAGGCTCATACTTGTAAAGATACAAATTGATGTGAAGAAAGTTAGCCTGAACTGAGAAAGCATCTGAATAGCTTCCCTGTTCCTTGAAAGCAACTCTGTTGGGATGTTTCTTCAGACTCAGTACTGAGCAGCTGACGTAGCTCTGATCCAAAGAAGCCAAGCTCAAATCATGACCTGGCAGCAGAACATGACAATGTCATACCCTTGGTACTAGTTTTGAAGGCAAAAAAGTTAAAAGATTGACAGAGTTATGGATAGAAGCCGACACAAGGCAATGTATCTCAAGGTTGGAGTCCAGGCAAGGAAGCCCTGAGAGGCCATTGAGTCATTTTCTGAAGGTGAACCCTAATTCCCAATGGAGACTCTAGGATTAGAGATGCCAGGGACATTGTTGCAGGCATGGAACAGAGATGGTCCAAGAGAGAACCCATGTGTATGATAGGCAGCTGAGCTGTGAGGCTGTGGCAACCTAAGCCATTTGGAGCCAATTTCATCATTGAGTGAAAAAAGAAACAAAACAGAAAGGAAAGTACATGACCGCTCCTAGGTATGGTGGAGGAGAAAGTTTATTATAGATAAAAAGGAGAGTGTAGGTAGAGGCAGGGACATCTGGGAGAGTCCAGAGTGGACATGACCAGACTGAGCTAGACCATGTGGAAGATGGGGAGGAGAAGAGATAGAGGGTAGGGTATGCCAACCATACCTAATTCCATTTTTTTTTTAACAGTAACCAGTGTCCAAATTTTTCAGTTCCTAGTCTTACAAACTGTAAATTGTGTGTGGGTGGTCTACTTTTAATTATGTATTAAAGCCTGTTAACATCTAATTAGCTACCTACTAGCAGAGGTTTTTGTTGCTGTTTGCATGCTTCATACCTACTTAAAATGAATAACATGATAGTATCAACTAAGAAGTAACTGAGTGTCCACAGTATTACTAATATATTAAGTACAATTGTTCTATTAACATGATAATAGCAGGGTAACAAATTTTCTGTTTGAGAATCTTTCTTGGGAGTATTGGTAATTATGTTATGCCTAATGCAACAAAACTACTAACAATTTTACAATAGATAACTAAATGGAAAATTGCCAATTAGATCTTATAGTATGTACATATTTTATTTGTTACTGGCTATTATTCAACATTATGCTTGCAATAATTGTCAGCATTCTTGTACTTGCA